AATACCTAGCAGTCCAAAAGAGTCCAGTGGAGCCTGAGCGGTGGGTGTTGCCTTCTGACACACTTCCGGTGACGTCAGGGGGTGTGGCATATGCAAATGTTATGCAAATAAGTTATGCTAATGAGCTCCTGCACCTCTTTTTCTACGAAATTACCCCTGATTATCAATATCTGCTTTTACCCCCTTTTGTTTTTTATTTCTGGCCGTCTCATGTAATGTTAACAAAAAGCAAATTTGCACATTTTCCCAATAAAAACATGCCTGTGAGATTTGTTCCAGTTTTGCAGCTCTCAGACATCTGACATTTATTTTATGTGGCTATTATGTTAAGCAAGTTTGGCCAAGTGAAAAAATCGCCGCAGCGGGGGACTCGCCAGAAGCAACATGGCGGCACTTATAACAGACATGAAACAAAATTATTATTGCTCTCCAGGGTGGCACTCTGCACATGCTCGGGAGCTTTGACCTCCTTGGGCTAATGCCTGATGTACCAGAGCGAACTTACCTTGCTGTACACTCTACTGTGGGTAGCCTTCCAGTCCCTCCAGGGTCCATCTAGGGTCGCATCCCGCGCTGTGGCAAAGGACCCAAGGAAGACCAGCAGGGTCACTGCGGCCACCGAGACCGACACCATGCTTTCGTCTAGGAGGACAAAGCGTAGACAGGGTTGGTTGTGTCTTCTGTTTTCCCCCACATTGGGTAACCCCCTGAAAATGGGTTGCACCATAGGGCCATCATGATTAGTAGCCCCTTATGGACCAGAAAAGGAGCTGCGGTGGCTCAAGTGGTTAAGACGCGGAACTGCAGGCTGTGGAAGGTCAGTAGTTCAGCAGTTCGAGACCCGGGTGCCGCAAGACGGAGTGAGCTCCCGTCTCTAGTTCCAGCTCCTGCCAACCTAGCAGTTCGAAAGCAAGAAATTGCAAGTAGATAAATAGGTACCACTTCGGTGGGAAGGAAACAGCGTTCCGTGCGCCTCGGTGTTTAGTCATGCCGGCCACATGACCACGGAAACGTCTTCAGACAGCGCTGGCTCTTCGGCTTGGAAACGGAGATGAGCACCGCAACCCTAGAGTCAGACTCGACTGGCTTTCGAGCAAGGGAACCTTTACCTTTACCTTTATGGACCAGAAAGTGACAGAAAGTGAAGAGAACCTCAAGAACGTCTTGCTGAGGGTGAAAGGAGAGCTCAAAAGTTGGTTTGAAACTCAACATAAAAAAAACAAAGATGCTGGCATCCGGCCCCATCACTCCTTGGCAAATAGAAGGGGCATCACGGAAGCATTGATTCAATTTCCTGGGATCCAAGATCACTGCAGACAGTGGCTGTAGCCATGAAATTAAAAGATGCCTGCTCCTTGAGAGGAAACGATGGCGAACCTCAACAGCATGATAAAAAGTAGAGATATCACCCTGCCAACAAAAGTCTACATGGTCAAAGCAATGGTATTCCCAGTAGTCATGTATGGCTGAGAGAGTTGGACTATAAGGAAGGCCGAGTGCTGAAGAAAGACAGTGTCATCGATGCAACCAACATGAAATTGAGCAAACTCCAGAGGATGACGGAAGACAGGGGGGCCTGGTGTGATGTGGTCCATGGGGTCACAAAGAGTCGGACTCAACTGTGCCACTGAACAACAACAAACTAAAGAGTTTTAAAGCATACCTGGGCCTGATAGTGCTGGAATTAATGCTAGAAATGCACTTAGTTGAACCAGAGTTGAGCAGAAATGGAATGAGCTCAGAGAGACAGAGGGAGAGGGAGAGGGGGAGGGAGGGGGGGTCTGGAAAGCTCAAGGGACAGAAGAGAGAACCGACCATGAAGCTGCCTGATACTGAATCCATCAAGGTCATCAAGGTTAGTCCATCAAGGTCAGTATGGTCTACTCAGTGACTCTCCAGGGTTTCAGGCAGAGGTCTTTCACATCACCCACCACTTGGTATCTTTAGCTGGAGATGCCGGGGACTGAACTTGGGACCTTCTGCATGCCAAGCAGACAGTCTCTTGCTGAACCACAGTCCCTCCAGTCAATTTGTCCCTACGGAATCATTTAGATGACGTTTCCTCCCCAAACCAAGCTTACTCCACTTTGCCCTGCCAGACGGAAACAAGCCAATGGTAGAGAAGAAGAAGAAGAGGAGGTGGAGGAGGAGATTGGATTTATACCCCGCCCTTCACTCAGAGTCTCAGAGCGGCTTACAATCTCCTTCCCTTCCTCTCCCCGCAACAGACATCCTGTGAGGTAGGTGGGGCTGGGACAGCTCTGAGAGGACTGCCCTTGAGAGAACTGCTCTGAAAGAACTTGTGACTGACCCAAGGTCACACCAGCAGCTGCGTGTGGAGGAGTGGGGGATCAAACCCGGTTCTCCCAGATTACAGTCTGCGCGCCTAACCACTACACCAAACGGGCTCTCACCAAACTTCTTTAGGTTTAAGAAGGGTCCCCTGACCTATGCGGGCCAGGCCAGGGCTTTTTTTAAAAAAGAGGTGCCGGAACTCTCATGAGGGAAATGCAGTTTTCAGTCTGTATACTGAAAACTCATGACCTCTAAAACATTTCTTAAAGAATTTTGTTGAAGAGGTTCTGGGACTCCGTTCCAGCACATTCCCCCCAGGGAAAAAAGCCCCGGCCCAGGCTAGCCCCATCTTGTCACATCTCAGAAGCTAAGCAGGTTCAGCCCTGGTTAGTACTTGGGTGGGAGACCTCCAAGGAAGTCCAGGGTCGCTACGCAGAGGCAGGCGATGGCAAATCACCTCTGAACGTCTCTTGCCTTGGAAAACCTATGGGGTCACCCTGAGTGGGCTGTTTCTAAACGGCACTTTCCTCTTACTTCTCAAGAAAGGGTATCTCGTAGCTCCCTCCTTTTGGGTTTGTTTGTTTGTTATACTTTTCATGCTTGTGTGTGTGTGTGTGTGTGAGTGAGTGTGAATGTGTGTGTGCACCTGGAAGTCACGGCGACCCCTGGTGACTGACCCCTGCTGAGGGCCTGTAGGATATTCAGAGAGGTGGCTGAGTGAAGCCTGCCCCCGCCTCCCGACGGCTGGTATTCCAAGGAGGTCTCCCATCCAACGACTTCCCAGAGTCGACTCTGCTTAGCTTCCGAGATCTGACGAGATCGGGCTTGCCTGGGCTATCTTGGTCAGGGCATTACTTAAAGTTTTTTTCCTTTTTAATTTTTTTTGTATTTTTCGTGTGTGTGAGAGTGTATGTGTGTGTGCATGTGCACCTGGAAGTCATGGCGACCTCTGGTGACTGACCCCTGCTGGGGGCCTGGAGGATATTCAGAGAGGTGGCTGAGTGAAGCCTGCCCCCGCCTCCCGACTGCTGGTATTCCAGTGTTCCATAGAACACTGCTTTTTACTTGAAGAATACTGTGGCAACACAATCAAAGAAGGCAATTCTTGGACCAAAAGTCTATACTTTAGAACCACTGCGCAAGGGAGTGCACTTTTAAAGATCTCATTGGCATATTTATTGTGTGCCTGGTGGTTTTATTCCGGAATGACTTGTTTTCTGGTCCATATTGAATTTATATTTTGTATCCGTTCTGATTGCGTCTACACAGGGCCGGCCCCAGCTTATTTTGCACCCTTGGAGGGGATCCCTTCTGGCGCCCCCCTCTCCGTGCACCCACCAATTTTCAAAAATAAATGCACTTTAGGAAGAATGAAAAACACAAATAATCAAGAAACTCCCAGAGTACGGGGCCGGGTGCAGTTTGGCGCCCCTAAGGGCCAGCCCGCTCTAGGCGATCGCCTAGTTCGCCTAGTGAGTGAGCCGGCCCTGCGTCTACATGATTGTATTATACTTATATAGCCATCTTGCCACTCAATTGCTTGACCTCTGAGGAAGGCCGATCCAGGCCGAAACGCGTCAGGTCAGGTTTTTAAGCCCGTGTGTATAGCCATGTTATTTATATATTTGATGTGAATGGGCCCTTATATATGTTTTAAAATTTGAAATTAATAAATACATGTATCTTGGGCCGAGCGCCGAAGAATAGATTCTTTTGAACGATGGTGCTGGAGAAGACTCTTGAGAGTCCCTTGGACTGCAAGGAGATCAAATCAGTCAATCCTAAAAGAAATCAACCCTGACTGTTCCCTGGAAGGCCAGATAATGAAACTGAAGCTCAAATACTTTGGCCACCCAATGAGAAGGGAGCACTCACTGGAGAAGACCCTGATGCTGGGAAAGATTGAAGGTCAAAGAAGACGGGGACAGCAAAGGATGAGATGGTTAGACAGTGTCATAGATGCAACGAACAGGAAATTGAGCCAACTTCAGAGGAACATGATTGTATTATACTTATATAGCCATCTTGCCACTCAATTGCTTGACCTCTGAGAAAGGCCGATGCAGGCCGAAACACGTCAGGTCAGGTTTTTAAGCCCGTGTGTATAGCCATGTTATTTATATATTTGATGTGAATGGGCCCTTATATATGTTTTAAAATTTGAAATTAATAAATACATGTATCTTGGGCCGAGCGCCGAAGAATAGATTCTTTTGAACGATGGTGCTGGAGAAGACTCTTGAGAGTCCCTTGGACTGCAAGGAGATCAAATCAGTCAATCCTAAAAGAAATCAACCCTGACTGTTCCCTGGAAGGCCAGATAATGAAACTGAAGCTCAAATCCTTTGGCCACCCAATGAGAAGGGAGAAGACCCTGATGCTGGGAAAGATTGAAGGTCAAAGAAGACGGGGATGGCAAAGGATGAGATGGTTAGACAGTGTCATCGATGCAACGAACATGAAATTGAGCCAACTTCAGAGGACGGTGGAAGACCGGAAGGCCTGGCGTGATCTGGTCCATGGGGTCGCGAAGAGTCGGACTCGACTGTGCGACTGAACAACAAAAAATCTTTTTCTATATATTTTCTACATTTAGTTTGTAATATTGGCCCTCTTTTTCACATTTTACTAACCTTTGTTAAGTTCTGAATTCCATGGAGGTCTCCCATCCAAGGACTTGCCAGAGTCGACCCTGCTTAGCTTCCGAGATCTGACGAGATTTGGGCTTGCCTGGGCTATCCGGGTCGGGGCTTAGCTCCCTCCCTGCCCCTCTGGAAGAATTCCCTCCCAACCTATCATCCCCATCCCCTGAAAAAGGCATCTGACCCAAACTGTTAAATCATCTCCATTTTATTTCCACACTTACCTGAACGGCGAGGCCCTTCTGAAGACCGGTTCCTCCCTATCGATCTGGCTGCAGCCCGAGAGTCACTTGAGCAATCCAGAAGTTCAGCACCATCTGATACGGGGATCGAGATATTTATATTCCACACGTTCTTGTGGTGAGGGAAGGGGGTGGAGAGAAGAGATGAGCAAGCAAAGGCGGGTAAACCTCAGGGAGAGCACAGCCCAGAGCCACACATCCCGTGACAAAAGAAAGACAACGGCTTGATCTTGGGTCAGTTGCATTGCAACAGTTACTAAAAGGTAAAGGTTCCCTTGCTCGAAAGCCAGTCGAGTCCGACTCTAGGATTGCGGTGCGCATCTCCATTTCCAAGCCGAAGAGTCAGCGCTGTCCGAAGATGTTTCCAGGGTCATGGGGCCGGCATGACTAAACACCAAGTTGAGAGTGGGCAATTTGGCTGCTGCATCAATCAGTTTCCTCTGGAGCCCTCCTTCCCGAGCGGAGGCAAAAAGGTGTGTAAGTAAAGGTAAAGGTTCCCTTGCTCGAAAGCCAGTCGAATCCGACTCTAGGGTTGCGGTGCTCATCTCCGTTTCAAAGCCGAAGAGCCAGCGCTGTCCGAAGATGTTTCCGTGGTCATGTGGCCGGCATGACTAAACACCAAGTTGAGAGTGGGCAATTTGGCTGCTGCATCAATCAGTTTCCTCTGGAGCCCTCCTTCCCGAGCGGAGGCAAAAAGGTGTGTAAGTAAAGGTAAAGGTTCCCTTGCTCGAAAGCCAGTCGAATCCGACTCTAGGGTTGCGGTGCTCATCTCCGTTTCAAAGCCAAAGAGGGTTTGAAACTGTCGGAAGACATTTCCGTGGTCATGTGGCCGGCATGACTAAACACCAAGGCGCACAGAATGCTGTTACCTTCCCACCGAAGTGGTACCTATTTATCTGCTTGAAATTTCCTGCTTTCGAACTGCTTGGTTGGCAGGAGCTGGAACTAGAGACGGGAGCTCACTCCGTCATGTGGCACCCAGGTCTCGGACTGCTGAACTACCGACCTTCCACAGCCTACAGTTCAGCATCTTAACCACTTGAGCCACCGCAGCTCCGCAGCAGTTACTAGGACATAATGAATGTCACATCCATGGGCTCATAGACATTGACATTGGGGGAGATCTGGGGACTCATTAATGAATCTTGGTTCGGAGTGCCCCCCCTGGTGGCCACAGTCCCAATTACCTCCCCCCCTTTCCCTGGCAACTCATCTCTAATGGGATACATCCAGTGTTCCCTCTAAGCTGAGTTAGTGTGAGCTAGCTCACAGTTTTTTAGCCGCCAGCTCACACATTTTTGTCTTAGCTCAGGAAGGAGGGCTCCAGAGCAAACTAATTTATGCAGCAGCCAAATTGCTCACTCACAAGTTTAATGCCAGCAGCTCACAAAGTTGAATTTTTGCTCACAAGACTCCACAGCTTAGAGGGAGCATTGGATACATCCCTCACTTGGAAGGGGTGAAGAGAATGGCCAGGTAAACACAGGAAGGAGACCTGAAGGAAGAGGAAGAAGAGGAGGAAGAAGAAAAAGAAGAGGAGGAGGAGACTGGATTTGAGAATACTACACCAGTTTGGTGTAGTGGTTAAGTGCGCGGACTCTAATCTGGGAGAACCAGGTTTGATTCCCCACTCCTCCACTCGCAGCTGCTGGATGACCTTGGGCAAGCCGTAGTTCTGATAAGGGCTGTTCTTGAAAAAGAGCAGTTTCTGTCAGAGTTCTCTCAGCCCCACCTACCTCACAGGGTGACTGTTGTGGGGAGGGGGAGGGAAAGGAGTTTGTAAGCCGCTCTGAGACTCCTTTGAGTAGTGAAGGGTGGGGTATACATCCAATCTCTTCTTCTTCTTCTTCATACCACGGCCTTCAGTGCCTGAAGAAGTCTCAGAGCGGTTTACAATCTCCTTTTCCCTTCCCCTCCCCACAACAGACACCCTAAGAGGTAGGTGGGGCTGAGAGAGCTCTTTCGAGAACTGCTCGTGAGAGAACAGCTCTGAGAGAACTTGTGACTGACCCAAGGTCACACCAGCAGCTGCATGTGGAGGAGTGGGAAGTCAAACCCGGCTCTCCCAGATTAGCGTCTGCGCTCCTAACCACGACACCAAACTGGCTCTCTGATGAAAACATCAGATCCCCAAACTTTCGCCTACCCCACCCCCACCAAAGGCAACTGTTTGACGCACCTTGGCGACACTGAGATGGCTGTACAGCCATCATCAGCAAATATTCTCAGAGTCCAGCGGCGTTCAAATCTTGAACATGTTCCAAAACAGGTCTTCCAGCTGTATCATCGTTGATTTATAAAACTGAGGGACAAGGACACTTGGGTGGTGGAAAGTGCCACGGAGTCGCGGCCGATTGATGGTGACCGCGTGGGGTTTTGAAGGCAAGAAGCAGACGGGAGATAGTTTGCCACTGCTTGTCTCTTTGCCGCAACCCTGGGCTTCCTTGGTAGTCTCCCATCCAAGTACTAACCAGGGTCAACCTTCCTTAGCTTCTGAGACCTGACATGATCTAGCTGACCTGGGCTATCCAGATCAGGGCTGTAGGACACTTTGCAAAGGAGCGTATGTGCAGTTACAGAGAGTAAATTCGATTTGAGTTGGGTTGAGAACAAAATTGATGTCAGGAATTTCTCTCCAACTAAGGGCGAGAGAGCGGGAGAGAGGAAAGAGGCAGCCAACCCTCCCTCTAAGCTGTGGAGTCTTGTGAGCAAAAATTCTACTTTGTGAGCTCCTGGCATTCAAGTGGTGAGCGAGTGAGTTGTGAGCTGTGAGTAAAGTTGTGAGCTGTCTTGTGAGCAAAAAATGCTACTTTGTGAGCTCCTGGCATTCAAGTGGTGAGCGAGTGAGTTGTGAGCTGTGAGTAAAGTTGTGAGCGAGTTGTGAGTAAAGTTGTGAGCTGTGGAGTCTTGTGAGCAAAAATTCTACTTTGTGAGCTCCTGGCATTCAAGTGGTGAGCGAGTGAGTTGTGAGCTGTGAGTAAAATTGTGAGTGAGTTGAGAGTAAAGTTGTGAGCGGTGGAGTCTTGTGAGCAAAAATTCTGCTTTGTGAGCTGCTGGCATTCAAGTTGTGAGCGAGCGATTTGGCGACTGCGTACATTAGTTTGCTTTGGAGCCGTCCTTTCCTGAGCTAAGACAAAAATGTGTGAGCCGGAGGCTTAAAAACTGAGCTAGCCCACACTAACTCAGCTTAGAGGGAACACTGGAGGCAGTGTCTCATGGATGTTTGTTCTGGACCCTTTGTTCCACATTCCATGGATGAGGGCTTTTAGGACAACAGGTTTTCCAGGCTCAGAGGTAAGATCCATTTGCAGATGCCCATTCCCACAAAGGGTCTTCTCCCACTACAATCAGAGGACCTGCAGGTGACGTCAATCCGTTTAATCGTTTGCCAGATGTCAGGGGGGTCACAGCGGCTGCTGGCTCATGTGACCGAAGGCATCCTCTCATGCAAGCCAACTGGGAATGGAACTCTCAGGAGAGGTTCTGTGCAGGATATTTGGGACGTTCTCCATCAGATCCTTCAGGAACTGGATGAAAAGGGAAGCTTCAGTCCAATGCAGGCCGTCAAGTAGAGACCCCGGGCTGATAGGCAGAAGGGAAGGATTGGCGTAGTCCAGGATGGAGTGGGACCCCCTTTCAGGCTCCAGAGCCTATGGTAAGTGGTTTCTGCCACGAGTGCGAGTTTTCGTGGGCAAGTTTCGGTTCCGCTGTGAACCTGCCGTGGTTTTTTAGGAAGGTACCGGATTGTGGCAGCTGATCTGGGAGAGTTCGTCTTCAAAAAAAAGCTGATAAGGAACCACAACGTAGCTAAGTCTGTGGCTACGGAGACTTTTTGGTCTCGGCTTTTGGATGGGCTCGATGTCCCAATAGAAATTATCCCAGGGCTTGGTCCAGAGGCCCAAGCTGTTTTCAGCAACCTTAAAAAACCCAGAGCTTGCCAAAGGAAGGAGGAGAGGAAGGAATTTGGGAACCCAGGCCAGGCGGAAAAGATCTAAGAGAGTGCCTCTCCCTTCTCGGCTGTTTTGAAGAACCCAGGCCTGGTGAAAAGTATGAACGTGGGAGGAATTCGGGAACTCGAACCAACGAGGAAAGACCTGCTATGCGCGTGCCCCTCCCTTTTCGAGTGTTTTGAAAAGCTGACGGTTCGCCAAAGGCATGAGCCACGCAGCACCGGTGGATACGAGCCCATGCAGGCCAGAGGCCTTTGGACCTTTGAGCCTGTTCAGTTCTTATGGACTGAAGATGACACTGGAGCATTAATTGGTGAAGAATTGGTCCATTCACTATCTGGAAAAATAACAGCTGGGAACAACTGGATTTGCTCTGCGCCATTCATTTCTGGGCAGGTTTTCTGTAACTTTTGTGCAGCTATACAGGGGTGGCTCAAGTGGTTAGGACGCTGAACTGCAGGCTGTGGAAGGCCAGTAGTTGCAGTTCGAGACCTGGGTGCCGCATGATAGAGTGAGCTCCCGTCTCTAGTTCCAGCTCCTGCCAACCTAGCAGTTCGAAAGCGAGACATTGCAAGTAGATAAATAGGTACCACTTCGGCGGGAAGGTAACAGCGTTCCGTGCGCCTTGGTGTTTAGTCATGCCGGCCACATGACCACGGAAACGTCTTCGGACAGCGCTAGCTCTTCGGCTTTGAAACTGAGATGAGCACCGCAACCCTAGAGTCGGGTTTGACTGGCTTTCAAGCAAGGGAACCTTTACCTTTTTACAGGGGATTGGTACAGAATACGCTATATATGTATTCACTTGATGTGCATTTACTTTAAATTTGAGCTCCCATGTTGCCAAACAGTATAAAACTATACAGATAAATAGGTTACTTCTGGTGGAAGTTAAACTGGTCTAATATGGTTAAACTTGTACCCCCCCCCTGCCCCCCGGCAATGCCACGATGCCACCTTGTGCTCTACGGAGGAAAAAGCAGTCACTAAGATGTTGGTTTGTGGACCTCAATACCCTCCGAGGCTCATATGGGGAGAGGCGGTCTGGAAGGTATCCCGGCCCCTGGGCATATAGGGCTTTAAAGGTAAGCACCAGCACCTTGAAATG